AAAATCCCCCCCCCCCCCCCCCCGTGCGCTTGATAAATAAATTATTCATTTTTTTATGACCATCGTCCATTCATCCGCTTTATCTTTTCAGCCTTTCTCTTTCATTTGATTTATCCCTGCCTCTGTTCCCTTGTTTCCGATGACTGCCTCTTTGATGATGGTCCCTCAGTCTGCTCCTCAACCTGCTGCTGCCGAGTGGATAATTGGGGGGGTAATTTGGAGGGGGTGATAGAGATAGGATTGAAGGCAACTGTGAGGATGAGGGAGAGTCACATGAATATGTTTTGTTCAGTTGACATTTTTATATGGCTGTATGGTTTATTGAAGTAGTTCTGCATCCAAGACTCTCCTGGGATTTCAGCCAACACCCATCAGGTGTTACCTAGCTTAAAATGCTGCTCTTTGAAACACGTCTGACTCCCTTAAAGATGCTCTCTTTGTTCTGAAGAACCCCCCCCCGTAAACTCCTGACTGCTGGCTGGCTCATATGTTGCTGCTGGTCTTTCCTGGTTCTGCCTGTCAGGAATCTGTGGACTTTCCTCCCTGGAAAACAATCTGTTTTTATTCTTTAAAATGAAGGCTGTTGGATATGTCTGCAGTCAGACAGTCAAGGGCTGAATGCTTGTGTTTTGTTTGTCTATTACTTTGTTTATCTAGTACTATGACATCTGAAATTCCAGAGAGGGGCATGTAATGTAACGTTAAATTTGTTCTGACATGTCTCAAGTGTCCCCAGGCTGAAATTGGAGTATAGTGGAGTTGGGAACACTGGCCAGTAGATAACCCTTATTAGCAAGCCTGTTTGAGGAGATTCCTAAAGGAAATCTGTCAGTAAGGAACCGTTAGAGAGGCGGTCAGGTGTTTCATGTACTGGGGAAATGTATCAGCTCCCAGCAAATCCTCTCTCACCTCCTACCCCCCAGCTGTCCTCTTCAAACCTTAATCATCTGGGTGGTTGGGGGACTTGGATTTTTATTGGTTAATACCTGAGTGGAATGAGTGGGCGGGGGTGGTGCTTTTCTTCTTTGTCTTGGCAGGGAGAAGCCAGACAGACACTGAAACATTGGGGCAGGAGATCCAAACTGTCTAAAAACAGAGGGATCAGAGAGACAGGACGTACAAGGGCTGGGCAACCCCAGTCCCAAATGCTGTCCAATCAGATAAATCCCAGCTATGAGTCCTTCTGACATGCCTTGTTGTTCTGGCTATCGTCCAAATCGTTGCACCATCCAGGTCCCCTACCCAGGGACCCGGGGTCTTCATTTCTGCCTCCTTTCCACAGCGAGTGGAGTTTCGTCACCACGGGGACCATCGAGGATGGTAGGAAGCCACCAAAGATGGTGTGGCTTAATGAGATGATTAAGTCGAGTCTCGCTGTTTTAAGGGGACTTTAAGCAGCGTGGAAATGATGGGGGGGCCTGCCAAAATGCAGATGTGCTCCTGATCCCTCCTCCCATGGGTGCCACCACCCCATTAATCTGTTTGGTGCTGAATACAGAAAAACATACAACCCATATTGTCCAAAGTCAACAGCCGCTCTTTGGAGCAAGTATCTTGCTAACCTGTTACACTGCAATTTATTATTTTTTCATATTCATTTTTTGTACTTTTTGGGTGGGAGGGGCTGTTCCAAATGCTCTGCAAAGGGGCCTCTAATCTGCCTTTTTTGGCTTTGGATTTCTCAAATCTTACTTGTAATTTCTCCCATCAGCCCCTTTCCCCCAACAATTTGTGACAGCCTCATCGTCGTCCTGATAGAAGTCTGAATTTATTAATTAATTTGCAGAAAAGGCCTCGGGTTGTACTTTTAGACAAGATTTGTAATTAGAAAATAATGAAAAAGGACGAGGGCCCCCCTTTTTCTGCAACCGATTGTGCTGCTGAAAGCTGGTATATTATTAGCAAACTACACCTCAGGGACTTCCATCAACCAGCCATTAATTCAGGCAGAAATCCTTTGCTGCGAGGGGGCCCCGTCATTACTGACGTGTACGAAACTGATGAAAGAGATGGACTTCAAAGGTAGACAAGTAGCTCACGGCCTGCTTGCATCAGAACCGGATCCCGCCGGAGTCCGGGTCGTTGACCGGCACTTGTCCGAATCGTGCTTCGAATTCACCGTGAAGACCATGCATGTCGTTTTAATTACATTACACTTCTGAGTCGAGCTTTGAATCCTAATTGTCTTCCAGCTGGTCCTTCAGCTTTTAATGTGTAATGGTGCCAAGAATCTTCAGAGCTGACACGGCAGTAGTGGTCTGTACGGGGAGGGCGAGAGCGTACATAATTTATTGTGTGCCCTTCAGCCCCTAAAAAGGCGCAAGTGACAATATGCGTTTGAAAGAGACGATCAAAGCGCTTTTAATCTCCAGAAATGCGTGAGACAGGACTGAAAGATACGGTGCTGCTTCTCTGATGGACGGGACACAGGGCACAGGTCTGTTGGATGCGCGGAATGTGCTGCTGTGATCAGAACCGTGTTCTCCAGCAAGCGACCTAACGAGGCATGAATCGTGAGGTTGGCAAATTCCCCGGTTGCCTGCGGGGAGATGCTTTTCTGCCCATTGAGGCGGGGGTGAGGGGTTACTGATCATCTACAGGGGAGGGGGGTGAGGGGCACGAAGCTATGCACAACCCTCCTACGAACACAACCCGCGCCTGCTCTCACAGCTCACAGCCCTGGGGGCAGATTGGTTAGGGGGGAGGGGGGAGAACAATGGAGTGGCACGCCCAGGGGAGGGGAAACCTCACTGCCAGGTGAGAAGTGCAGGAAACGCATCAGTCACCGGCTGTAATACAAGCCGGGACTGTGGTGTGTTGCGCCACTGGGGAAGCCCCTCCCCTCCCCCTCCCCCTCCTCCATCAATCTAACCCCACGCTCACCCCCCCTCTTCCTCATTGTGAGTAACGTATTTTCCCCACAGACATCAATACTGGAACCAGTCAGCACCTTAAATCAAATTTCCATCCAGTTATTAATAAAGTATCCAGACATCTATCTATATATCTATCTTATCACAGCCCACGAGCTCACCCCCCCACCACCACCACCACCAAAAAAAAATAAATAAAAAATCTGCCCCGAACGAGGCTGAAAAGTTTTACCCAGAGAAACGCCATCTACCTCTCGGGTGTTTAAAGATGCCGTCTTGTGACCTCCACGTGGTCCTCTCCCTAATCCGGTTCTCGTCTCGGTGAAGCCTTGCAGGACCCTATTCAGTGCTGCATCCGGAAACACTCCCTCATTACTCGTGCCGGGAAAATTCAATTACTGTTTATTTTCGCAGAGCGGGAGAAACCTGCGTATGACCTGCGTAATCGGTAATCATTATTGATTCGATAGAAGAAAAAAAATGCAAAATGAAATAACATTAGTCCAACCGTATGCAAATTAAATAATACCGAGTGGTTTGTTTTCTCCCCCATCGCAGGCATGCAATTAGCCGCTATCCGCTGAGGTAACGCTATAGTAACTGAAGCAATAAGAGGGAAAAACACATTAATATTGCATTAGCCACCGTACGCGGGCAATGTTCCCCATTCATCAGAGCTCAACAGCCACGGGCAAAACAGCGAGTCACTTATTTAACTTTGTTTTACGCATCGCGTGAGCGGTGATGAGCCGTGTTGCGCGCGTTTGCCATGGTGGCAGCTTGGGGACACGGCGCTAGAGTAACCGCGAGCCTCTAGCTGCGTCCTGGTCGCGCCGATTCTCCTAATATACCCGACGTCGTGATCTGAAGGCGTTGCGCCCGGAACTGGGAAATACCTACAAAATGTTTCTCCGGTATGCCGTGGAGGCTGCCGGACGGGCATTATGCAAATATCGCTCTGTGTACGGCTTCAAATTAGCTACCGTGAGATTTACCCACCCCCACAGGTGCTTGGAGCTTCCGCTTGTCATTCCGTTCTGCTCGAGCTTCCATAGCTGCGAGTCGACACACGCTGGGAAGTAACGATCCGGTAACTCGACGCTGCCGGCTCCTAATTTACGTTTGGAGTCTGAGGTCAGGCGGTATTTCGAAAGCCCAACCAGAGTGCGCGGGAAAGCCTAGGAAACGAGTGACCATTCCCCTTCAGGCAGCCTCGCAAATAGCCACGCGCCTCGCCTACACTGGGGAGCGTGATAAGGACGGTTCATTTGGTTTGTTGTACTTGTATTACGCGGGAAAAACATAAGGTTTTCAAAGGATCACACTCTGTCTGCATGGCACACAATTAACTTGTTTACACAGCAGAGCACTAGACACTAAATTCCTACTGCTTACTTAAATTGCTTTTTAATTGTGCTTTAATTCTAGTGTAAATGTAAAATGGTTTTGAATCCTCTACATAATGTTTCAGCCTCCACTTTTCTGTGTTGTCTTTAGGATCCTCTACTTTTTTTGTGATAATTCTGTGGTACTATAAAGGGATCAGCCTCTTGAGGAAACTGGAAAACATCCAGTTCATAAAAAAGGCAAAGGTTTGTATGTCACTCCAGATTTGGGGCAAGCTTCTGGCAGGAGCCCTTGGTACAAGCCACCCCTCCTGATGGACTCTCTGTCCTGGCAGGAGGAGACCATATTCGGGTCAGGGAGCCGGTACAGCCCTGGAGCCGGTGAGGAGAAGCCCGCAGGCCTCGTGGAAGGTGTGACGTAGGGCCAAGGATGTCAGAAGAGAAGGCAGGAAATGGGCATCGGCCTGGCCGAGCTGGATCTCGGTAGGAAGGTGGAAATTCCACTGGGAAGGAGACATTGTGTGTTATTTCTGTAGCAAAACAGAAAAAAGATTATAAATTCTCTGGAACAATTTCAGACTACCCAGTACATTCAAGCAGTGTGGAAGGTTTTAGTTTCATAGCTGTGGAGACCATGCTCATTGATCTCTTCATTAAGGTCTTAGGTAGACCATGCAGCATCGTCTGCTTTTGTCAAGGTTTAAATGGATAAAGGGCTTGCATGTAGCTCTGCCAGTGGAGACACGTACCAGCACCCCACTGAGGTTTGTCCGTGTAGCGCTGTGTTCTTTCCGCTTCCTGATGAGATGTGTCAGGATCTCTAAGAAGTCACACGGCTGGTGCCTCTGTGAGGGTGCTGGTGGGATGGGTGTTCGTGTGACCATCTCTTACAGGCTGTCGGGTGGCTGCTGATGACCCACATCTTTTGGCCTTACGGCGATTAAGAAAGTAGGTTGGTTTAGGATTCTTGGTGACATACCCAACAGGTATGTCGAGGGTTATGGGAGATCTTGTAGGCAGTAAAGTCTTGGAATTGGAAGGATTTATATTTGCAAGTTCTCCAACAGGTTTCCTCTGAGGACTCCACTTTTCTTTAGAAGATCTACCATTGAGGTGACTGGTGATTGTAAATTCACCTTTTCATGTAATTGCCTGTACTCCCTGCAATGGACTGGTGTCCAGTTCCTACTGTATTTCCCCTACGTAGATTCCTGGTCATCCCTAATATAGTTACATAAGCAGTTCTTGGAAATTTAATTAAGGAGCGGGCGCCGTGCGGTGACGTAGCGTGGGGATTGGGAAGCCGGGGACGGGATTGGCCCATTTGCTGTCTGTGGAATGGCTACTGCCGCCTGCCTGCTCATTCTTGCTTGTAATTGGTCTTGCTGTGAGGAGGCGGAGTCCCAAACCAGCAGGAAGCAGAACCCGCTCATATTAGCAAATGGGCTAAGGGCCAGCCCTGCCTTTGACTGGATGTAATCTGTTTGACAGCAGGGGCACCAGGCCTCAAAGCCCGTGTCTAACGTCATGTAGCTGCGGATAATTCTCCAGCTCATTGCTATACATTGGCCCTCTTCCCTTCCTCCTCCCATCTTTGATTGAATGGTCGATTTGCTAAACGAGAACCATCCCTTGGCATCCCGAGTGCTTCCCCCGTCTGCCAGCGGCTGTTGTCGGGTTGTCTGATTTAACGCCCTCTGTCGTTGCCTTTGATGAGTCTGACAGCTTTCACATTTCAAGTTGACACATAACGCATAGCGTTCCCACAATTCCGTCAAACATGCGGTCGCCATTAACCAATGACCAAATTACCACCCATACAGCAGAGAAGAATTATTCAACAACACAGAGGAGATACGTGTTAAGGTATAGACTGGCTTGGGGCTGGGGTACACAGTAAGAGAAAAAGGAAAAATTTTAATGCTGACTGACGGGGTGGGGGTGTCTCTGAGCCTAATGTTGGAAGCATTCAGTGCCAAACTGCACATCACCTTCCTAATAAATACAAACATCTATGGTTAATTGGTAAAAGACCAGGGGCAGCCAAAAGTTGTTCAATCTGTAGCTAATTTCTGCTGAATGACACCCTCATTATAAATTTCAATTGGATGAAATATAATTGATGCAATTATTATGTAATATATATATATATACACACTAAGAAATAGACACGATACTTGTTACACCTTGGCTTTTGCCCTATGATGCCTCGGATTGGCTCCAGACTCCCTGTCTGTGATTCTTTCCAGGAAAAGCAGCTGGAAGATGGATGGGTCTGTGGGATGGACCATAAGATTGTTAAATTATTGTTTCCATGTTGTTAAATATGACTGGGAGAAGGCAGTGAGTGGCAGAAGCAGCTGTTGCTGGGATCAGAGGACTGCAGAAATTCCAGATGAAAAACGGAGACTTGTGAGATGTGGAGGTGGGGGCTGGTGTTTTGACATTGGAATGGCCTTTCACACAACAATCCTTCTGGCAGTCACCTTTATTTTCCCTTTGTCATTGGGAAGTTGCTAGACATCTGAACGACACGTGGCCTCTTAGAAAAGCTCATAGCCCTGTCTATTGCTAGGTGTCATTTAGTCCCTGAAAGTGTCATGAAACTTCAACAAATAATATGACGTAAAA